GCTGTCTGATGATTTCCACTTATTGTGACTGATTTCAGTGGTCTGTCACTCATTCTCATTGTACTGTAAACAGTTTCGCACCTACTCTGTGAAAGATGGGCGTGAAGGGAAACCTCTGCCAATAATCTTGTGTGATACCATGGGACTGGAGGAGACCAAAGGGGCGGGGCTTGACATTGACGACCTCAGCAGCATCCTCAAAGGTCACCTGCCAGACCGTTATCAGGTGCTATATTATATCAGCGGGTCACAGAATGTATGAAACACAGATTTGTCAGCAGTCGACTCAAACTGTGTCTCTGTTTCTCCCCAAATGTGTCATTTAGTTCAACCCTTCAGCTCCTCTGCATCCTGAGGCCCACGGCTATCGCACATCTCCTGGGCTCAAGGACAAGATCCACTGTGTGGCCTATGTTATTGATGCTTCCAAGGTCTCCATCATTCCCACAGGGCTGGAGGACAAGCTGGATGCTATCCGCAGAAAGGTCAACCTAATAGGTCAGTGCCTGAGGTTTTGTCATATCTTTGGGGGATTAGACAGTTTATGTGTAAAACAAATGAAGACAAAAATGCAATAATGTAAAAAAAAATCACTGAAAATCAGTTTTTATCTGTGCAAATTAGTATATTATGTGTTGAAATTGGACATTTTTTCCCTTTATTAACAAAAAAAAAAGCTATAGGTGGACCAGTTTAACAGCCATGCATGGACTGTAGACAGGAAGAAATGAGCTTAATGGAAAACAAGCCTTTATTGAGACTGATTGCAAAAGTACAAAGTAATCAAAAAGGAAAATAACACAGGAGGAAGGGTATGTCAGGAGACAGGAAGTAACTAAATGTAAGAGAAGAAGAGTGACTGGCACAATAAGATGGAAAGTACAGAATAGAAAGATGCAGATTTCACACACAGACAGGGAGACAAGACTGACTACATACAGGGGACTCTAGGGAGGATGCAAAGACGAAACTAAGACAGACTGGACATGAATGGAAACGAATTTAAACAGGGAACTTGTAACTACAAACATGATTAACTAAACTAGGAAAATTCACAACACGACAGAACTCTGCACAAGTGAGCCGGAACCATGACAGCAATTTTCAACTTCACTTCATATCTTAAACAACTCAAAGAATTTGGATATTCCAATAACAATCCAATAGAAATCATTATGTCAAAGTGATCTTCCTGCTCATTTTGTTTCCAGGTATTCCTCAGCTGGTCCTCCTCACTAAAGTAGATGAAGCCTGCCCACTGGTGAAAGAGGATGTGAGAAACATTTATAAGAGTGGCTACATTAAAGATGTGGTAAGCATTTTTTACTTTTTTTAAACTGCTTTTTTTAAAGTATTTTTTAGTAATAAACGTTTTATATGAGAGTAGTAATACTTTTCCCTGTGTTCTGTACAGATGCAGGAGGTCGGCTCTCGGCTCGGGGTGCCGTTGTCCTGTGTTGTTCCGGTGAAGAACTACAACGAGGAGCTGGAGTTGGACATGAATTGTGACATCCTGTTGCTCAGCGCCGTCATCCAGATGCTTCGCTTTGTTGATAATTACTTTGATGAGCTCAGTGACCGAATGAGCAACATGCAAACCAAAGACTAGGAGAAGACTGAGGAGATGATGTAATAGTCTGAGCAGCTGATGACATTTCCTTTCAAATGATTCAATCATGTACCTGCAGGTGATCCTACTGAGTACTAGTACTGTGTTAACTGGGTTACTTGAAAGGCAGAAATTAGAAGCTAAACTACAAATTAGAAGCCTTCTTATATTGTGGGTATTGGGAGATATAGTATCTGTACTATGTCTGTGAACATCCAGTTTCTCCCTTCAAAATTTTGGTGAACTGGTTCTTAATTTTTAATTGAGCTCAGCAACAGAAAATAATGACATTAAAGGTCATCAGTCTCAAGATAATAAATTATTTTGAACATTTTTATTACCTCCTTTTCTCCATGTAGCTGAATATTTCATCACAAGTTAATAGATTTAATAAACTAAATTACTGTTTACTGTTAGAGTCAGAACCAGACACGGGGAAGCTGCATTCAGCTTTTATGCTCCATATATCCAGAACAAACTTCCAGAAAGCCTCAGATCAGCTGAAACACTCAGTTTATTTAAATCCAGGTTGAAGACTCACCTGTTCTCAGCTGCATTTGAATAAAACACCAAATCCAAACTTTTAAGCTTAAATTTTAAAACTTACATTTTAACTACTGATTTTATCTACTGTTCTGATTTTATCTACTGTTTTTTTTTTAATAAATTTTAAATCATGCTTTTTATTTGTTTTTGTTTTTTAATGTCTCTAAAGCACTCTGAATCACCTTCTTGTTGAATTGTGCTATATAAATAAACTTGTCTTGCCTTAACAACCCCGACTCCTACATGATGTTTTGCTTTAACATGAAGTATTTCAGCACCCTGTGTAATTTTTTGCCTGCAAGGTGCACACAAGAGAAACACTCAGTATAGCAGTATTATTTTTGGGGCAAGTTGCATCTGGCTTTTGGAATTGAATTTCTGCATACAAAATAAACAAAATGTAACTTTATTGTACTCAAAATGGTGCAAACACAACAACACACAACAACACTCAAACACAAACATTTGTGGCATCAATAAAAGGTATGTATTGATAGCTTTTTCTCTTTGTAACATGACCTTGGGTTTTAGAAAGGCGCCCTCAAATAAAATGTATTATTTTTATTTCCAGAGTTTAACAATCAACACCTATGTTAAAATCTGAAATGCCCGTGGAGTTGATTTAAAATCTGCTCTGGCACATTTTTAGGAGTTGCTACTTAAAACAAGGAAAAAACAAACAGGAAAATAGGAAGATGAAAACCTTCAGTAACATGAGCAGAGATCATCAAGAGCCCGAAGGAAGACCACAAGAAGGGAGCAGAGTGTAGGCTCTTAGGGCAAAGCTGACAGTATCAGACAGTTCAGTTAGTCAACAGCAACACACAGAGAGCACACATAGGATTGGTCACAGTCCAAAGGGTGATTTTCTTATTAGCACCTACACTGTAGCTTATCAGTAAATGATTTACTCAGATGGGCCACGATGATGGGTAATGATTTCCAGGTTTATGGTTAAAACTATGACGTATGCATTCAGGCTAAATGAAACTAGGGGCGTCTCCCATTTTGACCTCAGGACTTCCAGGCCATACACGTCACAGATGTTTCTGTATACTGTGCTAAGCTTGTTTCTGTGCTGCCATGATTAGTGCCTCTGTGCAGTCCAGCTTTGTCCAGCCACTGGTAGGATTTCTGGATGTCAGCCACCTCCTCTATCTGCTGGTGGTACATACTATGCAGGGGCCTCTCCTTCCATGATGGTTCCTCCTCTTGGTCCTCTTCTTTCTTGGGTTTCTGCTGCCTGAGGTATTCAGTAAGCAGGGGGTTGGTTGTGGCCATCTTCCTTATGTACTCACAGATTTTCTTTGTTTTATCCTCTGATGATGGTTCTGACACTCACTAGTCCCCGGTTTCCTTCCGTCCTTCCACTTAGCGTAGAGTCTTAGGGTGCTGGACTAGGGGTGAAACCCTCCAGCTCCAGGACCATCCTGGTCTTGATGTCAGTGGCTTCTATGTCCTCCTTTGGCCAACTTATTAATCCAGCAGGGTACCTGATCACAAGCAGGGTGTAGGTGTTTGATATCCTGGATTGCGTTCTTTCCATTCAGCTGACTCCTGAGGACTTGCCTGATCCTCTGCAGGTATTTGGTGATTGCGACTTTCCTAGCGGCCTCTTTATGGTTCCCATTTCTGACCACCTTCTCTTTGTTACCATCCGACTACGTTTCTCTCCAGTCATTTCAATGTTGTTGCTTATATCCTCATATCCTTGTGGTGTTGATCAGTAAGTCGATGTCTCATTCACTCGTGGCATATGGCTTGATAACCCCCGTAAATACACACACACACACACACA